TGCCATTGAGACAGACAGGTCTGCCGATGGCATATATAAATCGTCTCTTGTTTCACCGTGCAAAACCTCAAATTCGGAACTACTCTCGGCTCCGCATGCCTTGTCGGAAGTTGCTTGGTACCGTATGACAGTGCCGGATAGTGTGTCAAGATAGGGCTGCAAGCCAAGAACTTCTTCCAGGCGAACTTAGCCCGGTTGCCAAGTTTTCCCGACTTGATGAATGGGCGTGTGTCGTTGCCGAGCTGGGTGCAAATCTTTCTCAACTGGCAGTGTGCAAAAGGCTGTTCGACGATTGAGTCCAACTGACGTCCTTTCACTGTACACAGTGTAAGCAAACCACCCAACATGTTCATCGCCAAGCCGCTTTTGTGCTGCAGGCAGTATGTGCGAGGTGTGGCATCAGAGAGTGTTTGTTGTGAGGTAACTCCGAAGAAGGGCTTATGCCATTCATAATGACACAGCCAACCAGTAGCGATCTGATTGAAGGTGGCACATCAACAGGCTTCTAGTCAACTTGTACAGCTCATATTAGCTGCGACTGCTACTGTTACTGCTGCTGACCACTACTTCTGCTGCTGCTACTACTACTACTACTACCACTACTTCTACTGCTACTGCTCCTACTACTCTCGCACTTCAACCCCGAAGGTTGGACCCTAAACTGTTTAGGCTGTAGCTCGGGTGTTGCACTCAAGGGAAAGCCGGTGGAACCCGCGAGACCGTCCAGGCACACGTGCCCTGAGCCAGCAAGCATGATAAGCCCGAAGGTTCAGGGTTAGGCCCCAAGCTAAGCATATTCTGATCTTTACGATCTCCAGCAACAGTCTGTTTACCTCGCAAGAGCACGTGCAAACTTCAGCGCTCCTGAAAGCTATCAACCCCTACAACCCAAGACCTGAAACTTATATCCTGGACGCTGCCCTCGTGCACCCTTGAATCACTTAAGCTTGCCCGCAACCCCACATTCAAAGAGGTGGCTCTGGCAGGGGCTGAGACGACGACGGCTACTACTGCTACTAGTAGGCTGCTTCTATCATTGGCCTAAATCCGGGGTCCACTTCCGCGGGGTTTGGTTCCTTTGAGGGTTTATATAAACCAATAAGATTCAAACAAGGTTTGATAAGATGTAATACTTAAGATTTACAAAGACTTGATAAGTTTTAACAAGATCTAACAGGATTTAACATGATTTGATAAGATTTAATCATATAAGATTTGCCAAGATTTGGACGGGCGAAAAACCACAAGAAAAGGGACGGGCGCCAAGTGCAAGCAGCACAACAACAGGGGCGAAAATAACAAGCAAACAACAACATGGACTACAAAACACTTAAGTTAAAAGTCTGCATGGGTGAAGCAGAACAGCAGCCATTGCAACAACAATGCATGACGATAACATTTGTCGAAAACAACAATCAAACAACAATATGTAGACTGCAAAACAGCTTACAAGTCAAGTTGGTGATCGATTAATGTGCCTAAGCCACCTGGGTTGGCGAAGGCGTCACCTCAAGAGTGGTTGTGGTTCATCACGACAAAGTCGAAAACAAGTGTTGCCCTGCCACAGCACTGGCTCTACATCAAATATTTCCGAATATTCTTGTCGATCGATGTGGGCCCAGCAGCCAGCTGCTTCACCGTTTTGGCGGTTGGCCCCTAGATGGTCTTGCCACGGCCTTCAAGACAAAACATATCTCAGTTGTGGAGGTGTCTGTGCACTGGCCCACAGGCCACAGGAGAACAGCCCACGTGTTTGCCCCGAGAGACAAGTAGTACGTGTCCTCGTCCTGCAAGCAGTTCCTCACAATTCCCAATGGCACTGCAAGGCTGCTGAACTTTCCTGCACGAAGCGGAATGCTAGCACCAGTACTCTAGTACTACTAGTACAACAACTACTACTACCACTACTATAACTACAACTACAACTATAACTACAACTACAACAACAACTACAACTACATTTACAACTACAGCAACAACAACAACTGCTGCTACTACTACTACTACTACTACTACTACCACTACTACTACTACTACTACTACTACTACTGCTACTACTAGTACTACTATGATTAATAGCATTGTTGCTACTACTACTACTACTACTACTACGACGACGACGACTACTACCACCACCACCACCACTACTACTACTGCTGCCACTGCTGCAGATCTTATTACTGCTACTGAGGGCTACTTCTACTACTGCTAGTTGTACTGCTGCTAGTTCTACTACTACTACTACTACCACTACTACTGCTGCCACTACTACTACTACTACTACTACTACTCCTGCTGCTATCCCTACCACTACCATTACCATTGCCACTGCCACTGCCACTGCCAGTACCACTGCCGCCAGCACCACTACCACTACAATGGCACCGCTAATTTGTCCGGTCGTCTTGGTAATCTGGGTCATCTTGCCCCACTTGCTTTTCTGCATGTTTAGGCTTGGTCATCTTGGTCATCTTGCCCCACTTCCCCCATTTGCCCCACTTGCGGCCAAGATGGCCAACGGGGCTTCTTGGTCATCTTGGTCTCCCCCAAGTGGACCAAGATTACCAAGATGATCGAACCGGGTCCCCTCCCCAGCCTAGACACATGCACCAACCAAGATGACCGGTCATCTTGCACCCCTTTGTGGTTCCATTTTCCCGGCGCACTGTACTAAGAGTACTCGACTACTACGACCTGCTACGAACCACCACGGCATCGGCCACGGCTACGACCACGACCCACGTCCACGACCAAGACTGCGAGCAGCTACGGCTACGTCGAAAGATGCGATTACTACTACCACTGCTGCCGCTGTTCCAACGGCTGTCAACCTTTTCGCCTCAGTGTGTTCCCTGCTTTTCTCTGGTGCTGTGGCTTCAGCCCAGCGGCGTACGATGCCATCCTCGATGCTTTGCAAGATGTCCGGTAAGTGCATCTTCGATGCCTTCAAAGTTCAACCCGAAGGGCTTGGAGAACCCGTCCTTTGAAACCGTCAGCCGTGAATACCCAAGCTGCGGAGACCAGGCCCACCCCGGAACAGTCTTGTGTTGCCAGGTTTGTCTGCGATCACGAACCTTCTGGCTTGTGCGGGAGGCAGATTTTCGTCCGGATGACGGCTATGCAGTTGTTCTTAGTGTTGTTCTTTAAGATTCAAGCAGTGCCGTTTGCTGGGCTAGGTACGAGGATACAGCCCGGACTCAGCAGTAGCACCAGCAGCCGGAAGAAGAAGCTGGGGAAGAGTTAGTTGTCCTGGCGATGGCAGAGCGGCATCGGCATTTCGGTGGCGACGTGCCTGACCACTGAACATTGTTGAGCTCCCAGCAGACTCCGCACCCCCAATACACTAGCAAAATCCCTGAAGGATGAAATGGCCTGGACACTAAGCCGCCATCACCTCCCAAAGCTATACCGCAAAGCCGCAAGCCGAGGCAACAACCAATGTTTACATTAAAGCATTAGAGCCCTAAGCCCAAAGTACGTACCCTGAGTGCTGGCTTAGAAGGGTTGTGCGTCGACTGCCGGCAAGCTCCCGTGTTGGGAGCGTTGAAGGAACCCTTGAAGGAACTCCCTTTAACATTCCATGCCCGAAGGCCCGTCTCCGCAATCCGGCTCTGGTTGTTTCTCGGCAGTGCCCTGTTCTGGTGTTGCTCTTCATGGTAGTGTTGAAAGGCTTGAGGTTCGGGGTTTGTGGATGTTTGAGGGCTAACTTGTGTAAGAACCGTGCTTAGTCGCTTGAGGTTTAAGGGGTGTGTGAGGCTGCAGAGTTACGTGATCTGGCTTTTTGTTGAGACTCGTCCTTGGGAGTTTTTCTTTTTGCCTTCTGATTTCTGGGCTTTCCATTCTCAAGGTCGAATTTGCTGCTAAAGGCGTTCGTGTCTGAAAGTCTTCTGGGAGGCGTAGGGTGGCAGGTGAGGGTTTAGGTTTCCCTTTGCCTTTGAAGTGGTGTTGGCGGGTTCGGGCTTCTGGAGCACTGCCGGCGCTCTTCGCTGGGGGGTTGGCGTTGAAAACCGTAAGTTACAAGAGCACACAGGCAGTCGCAGCAGCTAGCAGCTACCATGTTGAAGCACTGGGGATGGAGCATCAGGGCACGACTCCCAAAGGCCCTTATGTAAGTCAAGAACACGCCGCCATCGGTGGGACGGCGAGAAAGCAGAGAACGAGGCAGGAGTCCTAATTTCGTGGGCTTCAGCACGAATGGAGAGGGCTGACCCCGACCCTCGTAGAGGGATGCTGAAAACGGTGTAACCTTAAACCAACAATCCTAAACAAAGAGGTGTGGGGCACTGAAGAAAGGAGCCCCTATATCCCAAACCCTAGCTCCTAGCAAGGTGGGAGACAAAAAAACCCTAGCTAGGTGGGACGCAACAAAAACCCCTGAAACGCTGAACACGGCAACCCACAGCCGGCGATTGAAGGCTGTTGAAGAGAGCCTAATCCAGGCACCTTGCCGGCTCGCCGGCATCGCCGTGTGAATGGCTCGACTTTTCGAGATTCTGGACCATAAATCCCAAGTCCCTAGCAGTCTCTCATCATACACCAGTTTCAGAACATATTAAAACTAGCGGCAGGATATCACCATGGTGCAGCAGAGACAATGAGCCCTCAAAACCTGCGATCAAGGTTTATGCCGTGCCGTGGACTTTCCCGAGCTGGGTCGGCTTGGAACGCGGCACGGAGCACCGGGGCTCCACTAAACCGGAGGGTCATGGGGCTGATGGGGATTTGGGGCTGGTGGGGACTTAGTCAATGAATTTTTGGATTTGGGGTCAATGCGTGTGTCTCGGTTCATACGCCATGCAGTGAAAGCCTGTGAAGGAGCACCTGGGGCCGGAGTCAGTTGCTGGTGCGCAGCCAAAATCTAGGGCCAACAAGGCACGCAAAGCAAGTAGGGATATTGCCCTGACAAGTTGCTGCTTAGGCGGCTTTGGGGTGCTATGAGTCATACGAATGCTGTCGTGTCACGAGTCTATGCCCGATGCCGAGATCGGCTTCATAGCAAGGTCAGAGTTCTACAACAACGATGCCCTGGACTACATCGTGAGTTCTTTTCACATTGTTTCAGCGTCTAGCAGGGTTTAGGGTTTAAGTTTAGGCGTAGGTTTTGGGGTTTAAGTTTCTCTGCTTAGACATTCTAGGGCCTTAAAAGAGCCTGCACTTGCTAGCGCAGAGTTGCTTGAAGATTCTATTAGTCTATGAAGCTTTCTTAATGACTTACAGCCCTGTTTGAGTGTGCAGGATAAGCCGAAAACCCCAAACTATTCGGGGTGGGTGGCTTCAAGTCATTTTTGAACCCCACTGTCATTAGAGCCCTCCTCCCGAGCTGCCCGGATGCTCTTCGCGCAGCGGTAGAATTTGAGGCATGGCAGTGCAGTCTGAACTGGAATGTGTTGTGTATAGTATACTTCAGTTTACCATAGCATACGAAAATATACATTATAACATGCTCGAATACACTGGTTATATTATAATATACCATGATATACCTGTGCTCTTCATGGTCGACTTCGATCTGAGTTCAGCTCGTCTCCCTTCCATTGTTTGTGCATTCAGTGAAGTCCCAAAAACCTACCTGAACTCCGAAAAAACATCCTGCTTGGGGTGCCTGATTGTAGGTTCCTGTCATAGGTCACTAAAAAGTAGGTGATTTGGGGTCCCAGTAATTATGGTTAGGCTTACAGTAGAACCGTGCACTCTGCAGCAGATTTCGAAGCTAGCTTCAAGCGGTGGAGCACCTGCCGTCGAGTGATTGGTGCATAGATGTGAACACCTGGCATCAGACTGCACTAATGCCTTCACAGTCCCTACGTCTTCAACTTCCAACGCAGAAGCGAGATCTTTTTTTGATGTTAAAAGAGGTTAATACAAGTCGAGGTGTTGAGGCTACCGCCGCTGTTGCTGTCCAGACGGTTCTTAAACCTGTGGAAATGTCGATCAAGGTGAGACATCATACTTCAAAGCTCGTAGTCCCTGAAACCTAAACAACCGGAAAAAGCTGCTGAGACTTTTCCTGACCTGGCATTTCAACCTTTGAGGTTGGCTTCAATGCGCGAACGCGGCCGGATCCCATTAGCCTTCAGCCGGGGATCCCGAAAGCTTTGTGGGTGAAAACTCAATGCCACTAATCTCAGCAGCCATCATTCAGGTCGGACGAAGGTTCCCGGCATGATGTCGTCTTTGAGGTTTCGCAGGCACAGGGTGATCTGGAGTGGAAGTATGATTTGCAAGCTCTTGACTTGCTCTGTGCCTCTAAGCGCCCATTTATTACGATGTAAGAACTGTGGAAACCCATCTCTTCTAGACGACTTAGCTACTTCTGTGTGTGTGTGCGTGTGTTTGAGAAGAGACAGAACGTACGTCTTTCTTGCTTCAGCTGAAACTGCATCGAACAAAGTAATGTGGTGATGCTTCAGACGGTCGAATCATATCGGAAGCGGTGAGTAAGGAAAACGTAACAGCTTCCAGAGTGCCGAGGTAGTCGTAGCTGCTGATTAGGATGGCTCGCTACGATGATGTTTCTCATTGTTGCTTTCGTGACAAGGAAAGCTAGAGAAAGGCCACACCTTCACAAAGAGTTCACGAGGCTTGATAATGGGGGTTCAATGGGGTCGCTCATGCCTTGTGTCCATTCGGACGAGCGGTGATACCGGGGATTCAGAAGGGGTGACATCCTTCAAAATGAGCTCAGAATGCTTGACAAACGGCTGCCTGTTACTAACTCAACCAACATCAACCAACTCTCTGATCAAATGGAGCCTGCTCTCCAGCTGCCATTCGCAGGCTACACTTAATTTAACAGCCAGCAGGTGTGCATCTACCTTCGTACTGCAGAAACCCTTCACCCAGACACTTCGCCTTGAGCCCTTTTCTCTAAGCCCTGAAGCCTGCATCCCCAAAGCCATGGCAGACCTGAAACTCCACAGCTCAATGGGCGTCCACAAGTAGAAGAGGGTTTTGGGGTATATCCTATAGTGCCTATATATTGGGACAGGCGGGTGCTAGAGGGGGAGATTATATACTGATCTCTAATGCTGCAAGCCCAAAGCCCAGGAGACTGGAGCAGGCACAGTGGAGTACGTCGGCAACCGCCCCCGGCCATCAATCTTGGATCTGCTTGGAAATAGCACGGACCTCGGCTTCGGACCTTCTGTTGTCAAATTCCTAGCCAGCATGATAAAGTAGATACTCCCTTTGTGTCGTTATGCTTGTGACCTATTGTGGCAGCTGTTCTTCGTCGTATTCTCACAACACTCCGAGTTCTTCTCTGTTCTTGGAAGTATTCCATCGCACTACTGCCACGCTTTAGGGCTTCCGGGTGTTGCTTTTGTTTGGTTTTGGGGTCTTGAGGCTTTGGGGCGCCATTGCTTCCAAAATTTTAGGGCGTTAGGGTGGATGGCGCCGGGGCTTTGGAGTTTTAGACTCTCTTGTGCTTGTCATGATGTTTTGTAGATTGCAGGCACGAAGGCAGTAACCTGTATTTCAACAGTTTGCTGACGACATTTGGCGATCTTGTCTGCATTTCCATTGTTTCTAGACGGCGCATTTGCATTTTTTCCCGTGGATGGGATCGTTCTCTGCAGAATTTCCGTTCTTTAGACCCAAGGTTCAAAAGAATAATGCTGGCGTAATGTTGGATCAGTTTCAATGAATGGGACAGGTTGCGAGAACCATCGCATCTGAGGTACCTCAACCCCGTATGCCCTGGACCTTTGCTGATGCATGTCGATTCTGATCCCTTGTGCACCTTGATTCTGCGAGATGACAGTTTCGACTGTAGGCCGTGGGAGCCACCGGAAGCACCGAAATCCAGGTCATTCGGCTTCACTACCCCCGTGGCGCTGGGTGGTTGCGCTGCGAGAGGCTTTAGCCTCGCTGCCTAAACGTTCGGTTTTGGATGCCCGAGTGTAGGAGTTTAGGGCTTAGGGTTCCCACCAAAATAACAGCGCCATGAAGAGGGCGATGTAGTACCGCGCTCCGCTGCTGCCCGGTTTTTTGCGCGTTTCTTTACCAGCAAATTTGATAGATTTCGCCATTCCCCTGAGTAAGGCAATTCTTTCTGTCTGTAGGCTGTCTAGAGTTGGTACTTTTCGGGGCAGCAGAGAGCGGTGGCCTGTAGTGATCGCTAGTCAGGTTCCTTTCGTACATGCTTGTATGTGGAGATTGAGAAGGAGATGCTGCCACACATTCAGAGTGGCAGATGCATGCAGAGAGTCAAACACCCATGCGCAGTCATGCAATTCACTCATACATGCACGCCTGCCTGCGTACATATATACCTACATACATACAAACAAACAAACATACATACATACATACATACGTACATACATACTAACATCCATGCATTCATGCATGCATGAATGGATGCGCACGACAGTACTTGTATTGGCATATGCGCATAACAAGCCATGACCACTCGGATGCCAAGGACGAGGCAGGGTTCAACCAGACCCGGCTGGTTCTGCCGGATTCTACATACGCCGCCGTGCTTATTGATTTTTCCTAGCATAAGGGCGCCGGCATCAACAAAATCTGGGGCTTGTAACAGGCACAGGCTTGTAAGAGAGACCTCTTTTTGCGACACGCGTTGCGCGACAAGTGCTACATCCACATTCTGGCTCGCTAGAGTCTGCCCGTGTGTGCTTCCCATTTGGAGCGGGGGATCCTTGTGGAGTTTTTGTGGTTGTGCGCCGAAGAGCGAGCTCCGCGACTAGCCACAAAGCAGCTCATGCCAGCAGCATCGAACCCCAAAGTAGGCGGGATGCGAAAGTCAAGTTAGGGGTGACATTGGCAGCGCTGCACCAAAGGACTCCTTGTGTTTTCATCAGGGACTCCTCGCGATCTCTGGCTCCTACACGAAAGAAATGTAAGCCTGCAACAAACTTCCGGAGCCAACCGAGGATCCTGCCGTTGAGCAGCTCTGGGAAGAGGAGCCTGAATTCGCCTCTGCTCTGGCAGATGGCGCAACGGGTCCTTCCTCTTGCAATGTTGCAGTTTTGTTTCAGGGATTTAGGGTTTTATATATATATATGTATATGTATGTATATATATATATATACATATATAAACAAATAAATAAACAAATAAATATAAATATAAATAAATAAATATATATATATATAGATAGGGTTTAGGGGAGGGATAGCAAGAGGACTGAGGGCTGGTGGCTTGGGCTCCAGGGCTTCAGGGCAGGGCTTTAAAGTGTCTGACGTTTCGACAGTCACTGGGACAGGAAAGCGGGATGCCACACGCCGGAGATGGGTTCCATAGCGCACCACGCGCATACGCAGAACGTTATGTTCAGGAAGTCTGAGTGGCGTTGGGATTGGCTTCATGGCTTAATGCTCATAGACTCTCTGCTTCGCAATTGATGTGCCGTCAGGCTTGCACTACCCGTGCTTCCTGCCATTACCGTCGTTGCGACAGCAGACGTCCATGTCCCTCTGGAGTTCGGAGGATGTTGGCCTGACGGTGTCTTGGCTTTGGGCTGTATTGCGTTCCGGACAGTTTGGGAAGTTTGGGAGACATGCAGGCCGCGTGCAAGAGATGTTCGGTTTTAGCACATGCGGTGAAAGAACCAACCTAGGGACCAAGCCAGTTGATCTCACATGCCTCTTAAACCCAACCGGGCTGTCTCTTGGCACCGGTGTCACTGTATGGGAAATTTACCCCGAAACCCAAAACCAGCCCCAACACCCCTGAAGTACTGCATTCCGATAGGCGGACTGGCGCGGCGCTTCCTGCCTCGGACGTAGTCTTAACACGAGCCTGGGCAGAGCAGGTGAGATCAGACTTGTGGTAGCAGCGTTGTGTAGGCGGTATTGAAGTTACTGTATGCTGACCTGGTTCAGACGGATGGCATAACTTGTTTAGAGGGTTTCGGGCGGGCAACTTCAACATCTTCAACATTGTTTGCTTCAATGGTCGGCATGGTTCACTGAATATCTGTTGCCTTAATTAAGCGTGGTAAGTGTGTGTATACGTATACATATACATATATATACATACATACAATACGTATATACTTGAGTGAGTGTACATGAAAACATGTACGCAAGCTGTTCAAAAAACTGTTTGGTTCTTTCTAGTGTACGTGGAGAAAGTCAGGCATTCCACTGGTTTGGATGAAGGCTTGCTCCCTAAATCCTATAAACCCTAAACCCCGACCTCGAACCATGGACCTCGCCTGGCTAGTCCGAGTTGCGAGAGCGTAAACCCTAAATCTTATGAAGAGTGCTCTGGGCAAGAGCTTCTGGGTTTCTCGAGCTCTTGAATGGTGTAACTTGTACTCCGTCGGGAGAAGGTTACTAACAAGGCCTCCATCAGGTTTGCGAATCCCAGATCAGCCCGGTGGAGTTGAATGCCCCGGATTCTGAATGTGTTGTTTGTATTTTGCAGGTTTGGACGGTTGTTACATGTTGTTACTGTCGGCAGAGGTTGTTCGGGATTCGACGGTTTTGATACGGATTTGCAGGCTGCCCACGAGAAAACGAGTGATGTCGTACTTTCCATTGTTCATCTTCTGAAAACACGCAAACACTGCTCACCACCACAAGAACAAACGTGGGTTTCGACCCACTGACGCCGAGGTTTTACAACTTCAGTCGTTGCCGCTGTCCAGCTTAATGCCACGAGAACTCGACGCCTGCCGATTTTCCAACTAATGAAGACCCCGACAAAAAGATAGACGAACTCTTCGAGACAACAAAAACGTGCAGACCCTAACCGTCTTCTTCTTGTAGCAGTCGTAGTCGTTGTACCCGACAGTAATTTGGTCATAGCAGTAAGTAGTGGTAGCGGCAGCAGCGGCAGCAGCCGCAGCAACAACGGAAGCAGTCGCAGCATGCATGAGGACGAGTCGGACGAGCACTCGTAGCTATCACGAGTACCAAGAGCTAGGAATACCACGTAGAAGCACAGGTTGGGAGCGTAGGGCAGCTTTGCAGAACTGCGAAGAATGCCGAATTGAAGACTGAATGAGTTCTGCCCAGATACTGCATCTCAGCGAGTTTTGAACTTCGACTTTCTTGTTACATCACCGAGCTTCCTCGTGAGGAACTTCGTGCGGATGAACGCTGCTCGCCTGATCATCCGGTGCCTGGTTCACCCCCGGATTATGTAAATGTGAAGCTTGTGCCCGTGGTGCTTGCGACCTGTGGCTTCCATCTTCGACCCAAATCTCCATCTAGTCGAGTCCTAGGGTCCCAGGCTTTCGTATCCCCCCAAGCCCTCACCCCTTGCTCCGACAAATGCTCGGGGACCGAACTCGGCGATATTTTTGATGTCCGTCTCTGCCGGCTGTAGGTTTCCGAGGACCACTGCATGGAGACGACGGTGCATTTCGAATGTAGGTGTCAAGGTAGATACAAGACAGAGGGAGCAGAATTCTGGATAGAGTTTTTTGATATGTTCTATTCTGGCTTTTGAGGACTTCCAGCTTTAGATGGGTTTCAACTTTCGCTTGACTTTACTTACCCTGATTAGCCTCCTCGCTTTAGGGCTTGGTCTCTAGAAGGTTCACGGTTTGAATTGCTGGGCGGATGCCTGCAATTGTGGGGCAGATGGCAGTTGAGAGCCTTTTCTTGTGTCCATCAGTCCAATGCTTCACCCTTTTCACTCCCAGACGAGGAAGACCATCATCCATCTTTAGGCACCCAAGCAGCCCCGAAGAAAATCCTTCACGGCCATCACGGTACAAGTATCGGGTTGAGGCTTTCTGAGCCGCCACCAGCCAACCCCTGTGTTCGACGCTACCGGGCTAGAGCGCCGAAACCTAGCGCTGAACCTAAGATGTTGTTTCACCACTCGCACCATGACCCAAGACGCATGGAAGGTTGTGTGATTGGGAGGGGGTTGGAGGAGTAGTTAGATGAGGCAACGAGCACTTTGGTCCGCTCCATGGTTGGGAACCCAGACAGTGGGGTATCAGGGAGGCATCTTAGTTGATAGCTAAGAAGGCAACCTAGAGACTTAGTTGACAGGTAACAGCTAGTTTTTTTGGGGGACAGGCAAACTCAGCAAGCAGAACTAGACTGTAGTTTGAAAGGTGCTTTGGGTGACATGCGGGAGATGCAGGAGGGCTGTAGAAAAGTATTTTTCCTTGAGACTTTTGGGGGGACCCCGGGTTATAATGTGCAGCTTTCGGATTCTAAAGCTGGGTGACTGGGTGAAGTTTCAGAAGGTGCTGGGATTGAAGCTCAGGGAGTTTCGGTTACGGCTTTTGCGTCTTTGTGAAGGCTTGCTCTGTGCTTCGTCAGGTGTTTTATCCAGGGGTAGCATCAGAACTTGCGTGCTGGTCGAACAACAAGTTTATGAGATGCCCCGGCATGCCATGAATCCCATGGGTTCCACGTCTGAGCCTAGGGAAGCTGGCAAGTGGATTGTAAAACAGCCCCAGGAATGGCGCAGAGGAGAGGTCCCGAAAATGCCGCACTCTTGCATTGAACCCGGCTTACCTTTGATACATACATACATACATACACACACACATATATATATAGACAAATAAATTTTCAAAACGAAGAGGAGGTGCAAATCGCTTCAGGATGATGCCCTTGGCTCACTCACCTGATGTATTAGGCTGTCAAGCTGAGAGGAACTTCGGTCGTCTGCTTACACACCTGATCGGAATTTGGGTGTTGCAGCGGGGCATAGGTAGCAGGTGTGAGTACAACGAGACTGCAGCCGTACTTACTTCTTCTGTTGCTACCGTCGAGGGAGGTCCTCGTGGAAGTTGTACGTGCGGACCTCTTGCAGCCACAGTCAGTAGCCAAGTCGTTTTTGGATGTTACTGGAGATTATCGTAAACAATTTAAGAAGTTGTGGGAGCGGTAGCCTGATAGTTGACGAACAAGGTAGGAGGCTTATGCTGGAAGGTTTGCCAAGACAGAAACACAATTTCCTCAGACAATACTGCCAAACCTAGCCACATGGGACAGCGTCTGAGCTGTTCTCTGCCCAGCTCACATTAAGACCCTCACCGGGCTCCTGTGGGTGCGGAAGCCATCCACCGCTGCTGGAGCCAAACCCTCAACCTCCTGCTCTGGAGCTTATTCTGCATTTTGAAGCCCGCAACCTAAACCCTAAAACCCCTAAGGCCCGGCATGTCCGAGTTGTGAGGGCGTAAAGCGCTTAAGGCCCTAAACCCTGAACCCTGAAATTCGAATCTCAAGGCCTGGGCGGTCCACCCCTCCGTGCCGGGCATCCGCGACGGTCTTATCGAAGCAACGGATCCGTGGTCAGGAAGGCAGAGCTCGAGCTTCTGGGGTTAATTATCTTGTATTACGTTATACGCCGTGGTATTGCAGCCTAATATTCAAAGTGTAGTATACTGTATTAAAGTCTTTTTATGCTGTGTTATATTCTACTATATCCTGGTTTTTATATTATACTATATTCGATCAAACCGCCGCTGGGGCTCCAAGGAGTTTTGGGCTCATAGGAATTGCAAGTGAAGCTGCGTGGGCCATAGAGCTTTAGGATGTAAGGCTCAGGGCTGGTCGGGGGACGCTTAGGGTTTCTGGGCCATATTCACGGCTCTTTTGCTGTCTTTCTGATCGGATGATGTATGCTTCAAATGTTGCAAGTTGCTTGCAGAAGCGTGTGCATGTACCTACCTACCCACCCACCCAACGACCTACTTACATACATACACCCGCACACCAACATGCATGCACACATGTATGCATGCGCACATGCATACGTGCACACATACATGCATGCATGTATGAACACGTTCACACAGAGACAGGCAGGCAGACAGCCAGACAGACAGCGCGCTAGAATTTGATTGTACATCCTTACATGCGCATGTAAGCCTTATACATGTGGACACGCCTACATGCACATACAGCTTGCAAGCCCAAGTGCTAGCATGCTATTTGTAGAACTCCTGCGAAGCATTAGTCCATCGAGAAGTTGGCGACAGGTAAAGGTAAGATAAACCACAACCAAGCACCCGCCTCATTGTATCTCTTTGGCGGCGGTAGGACTGGCGGGTACTGGCGAGCATGTCGAGATAGATGATCAGTGTTCGTGTCTTGTACTTTAGAAGGCTGGAGTCGCAACATTGTCAACACAGAGACTAAGAGCAATGGCGAAGAGAACAAAGAGGTAGACGCGAACTGAGATTTCTCCCTCTGTCTGGGTGTGAGTGTGTGTGTGTGTGTGCGCTTGAAACACACAGACGAGACGAAGCCGTGACCGGAGAAGGAACCACAGAACCTGACCTCATTGCAGGTACTCCATCAAAGATGGACTCTGGACGCTCGCTCACACCACGCGCTTCACAGAGGTCCCGAGCACGTAGCCGTTGCGTCTCAGCAGTGTATGTTTCAGGGTTCCCTCCCGCTGTGCATCCGCCTTTTTGGCGTATTGAAGTGTCAGGGTACCTCAGATCATTGGACCATTGGAGCTTGGACCGTTTCTGCCCTGTGCATCTGCTGTCAGCGCAGAGCTGTTCTCCACATGTACACGCCGGCCGGCTCAAGCTTGCAGGGAGCAGCCAGGACTTTGACGATCAAAGCGCCTGCCATGATGGCAACCGTAACAGAGGGCATTGGTGTCTTACTGGCCAATATGAAAATCCGAAGGCAAGTGCTTCTTGACGCGGACGAGGTAGAGTCGCTCGCCGAAACGGCAAGGTACTTGGAGGCAAGGGAGACAGGTAACCCGGAAGATGCCACCCATCTGGTGCTAAAGAATTTTGGCGACTGGTGGTGCGGCCAAAATAGTACCAAAAGGCTCGCTGTCGGGTCGCTAGAGGTTCTCTATGATCACATCGCCAAGATGTACAAGATAGGAGTTCCGCTTACTCTTGGAGAAAGGTTGACAGAGCAATTCAGTTTCTTCCAAGACATTGAGATCCGAGGCAGCAAGGACGGTAAGATCGACTACCAGGACATTGTTGGTGCCGATAGTGCTTTTCTCCTCTTCCTGGGACGCATCATGGCGGACCTCTTCCCGAAGGAGCAGCTGCAGGTTATCGTGCTGGATGCTTCGGGTCGAAGCAAGCAGCTGGGCGTGGAGCAGACAGCAGTGCGCCTGGTGTGGCAAGTCGTGAGTGGCAGGAGCGCCAGAGCAATCGTTGTCGATTCACAGAAGGCGAATCACATAGTGGACCATATGATCAACAAGGCCAGTGGGTCGAGAGACCAGAACATCGGAGAACTACTCCAACGAGCTCATGCATTTTCCCCTTTCAACACATGGAAAAGCATCTTTGTCAGCGACATCAACTATGGTAATGGGATCCACCGGGATAGACAACGGCCTATCATTCGGATGACTCTGAACGATGGGGTTGACGACTGTCCGATGCGTGGGCCACAGCAACGGCCTCTCAAGCCTGTCTTCATTCACAGGTTTTCCAGGGAAATTAACATGCGGGATTGGAAGGTGGAGCAACAGTGGCCTTCGGATAAAGGGGCCGATCCGGAGCTGAGCTTGGAAGACTATGCGAAACTTGTGAAGATCACCTCCATTCGTCAGGCAAGCGGCACGCCATTGACAGATTGGGTGGCACCATCTTGCAAGGGTAGTGAACCCACGAAGAAGATCAAGACCCGAACAACGGCTGGCAGCCTTGACTATGGCCGCCCTCCATGTCGGCTTGTGCCGACACTCGTGAAACGGACCCTTGCGTTTCCCGGAGACATGGAGGAGTTCAGGTCCAAGATTGTCAGGGAGCTTGGGCAGAGCGGGAATACGGACGTGGATTACGAGAAGGGGACTGTTAAATGGGAAGGGAAGGATTGCCAGCTCGTGTTCCAGCTTGCAAGTCACATGGTGCACATCACCGGTGTGGAGAGCCTCTGCCGCCAATATGTCTCGGTTCTCCAACGAGGCCAAGGCCAAGGCCAATGGGATTCTGCTCCACACGTGCAGGGACAGGCATGGGCCCAGGCCTTGCCTGTGCCGCAACATCTTCTCGGCTCAATAAGCCGATGAGCCTGGCAGGAGGCAAAGGCACATGTCATGGATGATCGGCTGAGAAACCTAATCTGCAGCCTTGTCAGCTTCCAAATTCGGGCTTGGCGCGTGCTGTGTGCATGCCCTTGCTGAGAACGGGGGAACTGCTGCTGCAATCAAGCCTCAAGATTTCAGAATGTCACCAACGCGGAGAGTGTTTTGCAAGCTTGAGTTGCCTCCAGGCTCAGGGCGGGTACCGAACGAGGTTGGATGTCAGCTGGAGGTTTAGGGAACTCCTATCCTTCGATTTTTCAGATTGTCGCCGTATATGGAAGATGGGTCGGTCGGTGCATGTCTTGAGCCTGTCGGTCTCACCGGGATCCGTGCGTTCGAAACGTGCAGAGAGAGCGCCTGTGTCACAGTGTCCATCTTCCTTTCCTGGCGAGAAGAGAACTTGTGAAGACAAGAAACCCCGAATTCCAGCTCCAAAGATTTAGAAAGGAAGGTGCCATCCTTTCGGGTTGGCGGAGACGCACTCTCTGCCTGCAGTGGAGTCAACTCACATCTGCCTTCTACCTGCAATGCGAAATTAGCTAAATTATGGCTCAGATGAGAGGGCAAGCAGTTGGTGCTGCGCAGTGCTGCCGTTTGTACAGTGAAATCCGGCACCGTGTGCAGTTGGTTGTACGATGTGTCCCGACCTTCCATCATAATGTCGGTATTCTACTTTCTTTGTCAACAAATATCTTAGTACATACTAGTACAGAGGCTTACGAAGCGGAGACTACACTTGACGAGGGCATTATGCATAGTCTTGGTGTGGTTCAAAAGTGGTGTAGAGCGTGAGGGGAGGGTTAAAGTATGTGAGGTCTGGTTTAGCTTATGCTTTTAGTATCTTTTCGTATTCGGTCAGCAGTCTCAGGCATGGAAGAGCTTGCCCATGGCCAGACCGCTTTTGTCTTGTGATTTCTCTGTGATCAACCGACCTCTGTGTGAGGGGTTGGCCAGAGAAACAGCCAGCAAAAAACCTCGGCAGTTGATGCTCGAAGCTCATGAGGCCGTCTTTGCCCTTCAGACTAAGCAGTGAGATCTGCGTCAATCACTGCACGCAACCATCTGGCATCCGAGCACGGAAGCATGTGGCATTTCAATCTAATTCCCTACACCGCCATCCGGAGACTCTACATACCATGACGCAACATCCAACATGTCCTTACATATCACGAGAAATGCTCGAACATCCATAAGCCGTATGCCCAAAATTGAAATCCATTCCTGAACCCCCAACCTCATCCTAATATATCCTGATCAAAGCCCGGCATACCTTTTAAATTTAAGCCGCCGCAATGAAGCACTGTTCTTGTGATGTGCCGAAAAATCTATACAGTGCAGTACAGAATCTGTAGGATCCCGAAGACGAACCTTCTGAAAGCTTTATCGACAGTGCACATATCCCCCTAAGACACTCCGTGTTCCACAACAAAACGTGGACCGAAAGGCTGGCTGGTTCGCCTTGCCGCTGCAGTCGGGTTCCAGTGGACACTTGAGAAAAGGCCTTGGGGGTTCAGGGTTATTTTCCAGTATATATTATAGTATATGGTCGTATACTTTCGTAGTATACTATCGGCTTTTTAAAAATAAAGTATATCACAGTATTGTAATCGGTTTCGGGCTTCGGGCTTAGGCATTCCGTCTGTAGAGGTGCACGCGTTAAAGGGCTCGAGGTTGAGAACTTCAGGGTTTAGGGTTTAGGGGTTGCAGTGCTTGCATTTAGTGTCGGGGCTGGTGCTAGTGCTGGGATTAACTGGCCGACTTCGGGTTTAGAGGATTGGATCTGACTTTAAGTGTCCAGAGCGCTGCGCCGTAAGTGCTCGCCCCGGGCCCCGGGCAAATCCATGGAGTCCCGAAGCCAAAAATGTGCTCGTTGTTTGATTGAGCAGGGCTTCATGGGTAATTATCTCCATGGGCGTGACCCTTGGCCTTACACTGCTTGAGCGCTTGATAAGATAATAGAGAAGCACATTTAAAAAGCCCTGTAATGTCCCTTTAGTGGTTTGAAAGGTTATACACACAAACACATACATACATACATACATACATACATACATACATACATACATACCTACATACATACATACATACAAATTCCAGACTGGTAAGCATACATACCATACACCTGCAGGCGCTGCCAAAAAGAACGCCTCCTTTAGCAAACACAGTGTTGCCGACTGTTTGGGTTTCAGGCTTAGTTTGGAAATTTTGCAGGCTGTAGCATTGAATCGAGGTCGAAAGGTTGAATGTGGTCGGCTTATCGATCCTTGTAGTTCTTTTGGGCTCAGAGTCATAACGCCTCATGCCCGTGGGACTTGCCCGAAACTATAGGATTTTGGATCCAAGGAGAACGGAGGACACGGAACCAGAAGAGCACACCCAGACATCCACACGCGTGCTCCGATATCTTTCATGCCAGCAACGCCCCTTTTTCCCCCATTCAAACAAGCCCTTTGCGGTCAGTTTGCCGAGTTACATTGGCCCTCCATTTGCCTGCAGAAATACGGAGTAAACCTGCACGAGATCTTCAAATATCACCGAACTCTGCTTTAACCCATGTGAGCAGCCAGCGGCCTGTCAGACCCCTTGAAACTCGCAGGTGGTACCTTCGTGACTTACATCTCTCCCAGTGTGCACCCCAGTCAAGGTTTAGGGCTGCGTCGTTCGTGCGGAGCCGTCTTTCAGAGAAGTCTACTTTCTGAAAGCATGGTCCGTCTCGTTGGGACATGTCGGTACTGCAGCTACCGCTTTCGGTGCCGCGATTCAGGATAGCTTGGCGCCCAATAATCAGCAATAGTGCTAATTCAGGCCTCCTGCAGCCTGAAGCGGGACTCTCATCCCAATTAGCGTTTCGGAGGCTTACTCTCGCCACAGCTGTCAGTTGACCCGTTGATTCAATGTTTCTTGCAATGACTCGAAAGATCTAGGCTGCAAGTTGCCATCGCCCTTCAAGAGAGCGCAACCAAGTCAGAAGTATGCCCGCAACGGTACTAGTCTTAGTGAAGTCCATGTTTTGCGCTGCAGGGGGATCCGGCATACGTGGCTGAAGCTCACTTGATCCCTGGATCCCGGGATGTAGGCACCAGCATCCCATTCTAAATCTTACAGGTTTTTGTGGGTGTGCAGTGGGTAGGTGGCTGTCCGTCACCAAAGTCCAGACCTAAATCTTACCACCAACCTCTTAACCCTAAACCCTAAACCTCTTGAGAGTGTCTTCTGCAGACCGTAGCGACTTCACTCTGGTCGTGGAGAAGCTGCAGGTCTGGCGGGAGACAGTGACGCAAGGGGCTTGAGACTGGACTTCAGAATGATAAGTTTGCTTCCGCCCGCAATGGGGGTGTACAGTCATACCCATCCGGAGAGTACAGCCAGGTGCGACTGTTATGCTGGATTACTGTAGTCATGTTGTTGTCGTCGTCTACTGAACTGCATGCTTCGCCGCCTTACGAGCCAGGAGCCCGTGTGGCTTTCCCGACTGGCCCAACTGTAAGTGTTCCCGGCCCATGCCGACGCCAAACACAAGTATCCTGTTACTACCACCACCACCACCACCACCACCACCACTACTACTACTACTTTTACTACTATCTATTACTGTAGCATGTTTTCGCTGTGGAGTTAAAGTGGTGCGATGACACATACATGCGACACCAGACCTTGTGCTTCCAAGCATGCACTAGAAGGGTTCATGCGCATGATTAAGGCGCAATCATACACTCTCACAGCCGTACTTGTGGTCACTAGCGTGCTGCCAGTATATTTCTGTTTGTCACCTTCCAGCTGCGTTTTGGTTTGCTGTCGCAGCACCTGTAGTGCCTGTAGAGCCCCTCCAGAGGTTCCCAAACAATCCCACGTACAGAAGGCCTTTCCGGTTCAGGGCTCAAAAGTTTCTGAGCAGTCATATATATATATGTATATGGTTTAGGAAAGTTTGATGTTTTTTTGTGTGAGTTCTTTGCAGCGCACGGCAGGCGCCCTGCCGGAACTGCAGCGGCGCCATCACGGGTGCCGAGGAAGTAGCGGCACCCTCAGGAGTTCAAGTTCGGGTCTGGCCTGTCGGAGACAAAACGCGTTGGGTCCAAGCGGAAAGCGGCGGTCTAACTGCCTCGTGCTAGCGCCTTTACGCCGTGTTGACCATGGAAGTTCTCAAGGCCACGCGTGCTTAAAGAATGTGGATCGGTGACACGAGGTGTTCTCGCAGCTGCCACCTGATCAGTTTATAGGATCTTGCAGGTCTCCCTGCTATCTCGAATCCTTCATCGCTTGGTAATGGGCCCAGCTACTGTACGATGTGTGCTTCTGTCGCGATGCACTGTAGGACTGACCTCGTATTGAACACCACTACTGCTTTTTGCCACCGCCGCTGCCACCGCACCTCTGAGTGCAGACAAGGATGCCGTGACACCCGTCGTGTGCGTGCAGAAATGGAGATGGCCAAGGGTACGTACATCGACGTACATCTTCATGTTTGGAGCGGGTTGTCGACCTCTTACGCAACTACAGCAACAGCTACAACAACAACAACAACAACAACAGCAACAACAGCAGCAGCAACAACAACAACATCAACAACAACAACAACAGCAGCAACAACAACAACAACAGCAGCAACAACAACAACAGACAACAGA